ATCAAAAAAGTACTCCAGAGTGTTGTTCAGCATGGGGGTGAGTAGAAAATGAAGGCTAATCATGTTTTGGGTGTACTATTCCTTTAAGGCCAATTTATGCTTCTGATGCATAGCCTCTCCAATCGTCAAATGTGTCTCTCAAAAAAATCCCGACTACGCATCAGACGGTTACAAACCCGCCAGATCTCAAGTGGAAGTGCGCAGATAAAAAGCAGCTGTGGTATGCCTTTCCAGCTTCCGGGGTGCGCCATTTTTAAAAACTAAGAAACAATTTCAATGGAGGACTATGACGAAAGGTTGGTCGGTTTTTTGGCAACTCCATTAACAGAACCTGTTCCTCTTCAATGTCTAGCAACTCTAGATCCATCTCTGTGACCGTGATATCTTGCAGAAGCGCCATTGTTATTTTGGAAGAGAAACACTCCCGCCGGCACTGCAGAAGTTCTCGTGAGATCTCGAATAGGCCCCCCCTTGCGCTTTGGCAGGAAACTGCTGTGCGTCCCTAGAGATTCCAGACTGACGGTGCAGAAGCATACCAGCAAATCTGGTTCGCTACCAGACCCGAGCCACATTTGATGTGTGCGGTTGCAGAAGTCTAATCTGCCCTTTAGTTCACCAATGTGTCTGCAGGGACTTACGGGCTGGTTATCCTCCCGCAGCAGTGTGTCGCAGTGAGCTTGTCGCAGGTATGACACAGATATTTTTGATTTATTTTGTGTTCTCAACAAAAGGAAAGCATTCAATAAATATGTGTTTGAGCCAATTTTGGAAAATACAAATCCTAAGGAAAACATTTGTGTCGAGTAACTGTAGGTCCATCAGCATTTCCTGCTTGGTTCCTTACCGGCTTGTTTTGTTTGTATGACCACCATTGTGGAAAACAACTCGTGAAGATGGACCAGCTAGAAGAGGGAGGTGCGCGAGATGCTGGGACCCTTTTCCCACCTTGTTCCCCGCTCTTTTTGGCCCCCCATGTCCCTCTGTTGTCGCACAAACTTGCCCTCACTTCCTCGCCGCCTCGGCCGTATCTAGACCCACAGTTAGTTCCTCTTGCGTTGTGGCGTAGAATAACATAGCGAAGACCACGCTTCAATGTTGTAGCCTCGTGAGACCATCCTGATCGCGCGAGCTTTCAAGGTTTCACTCGCTAATCAGTCTGGAGACTCTCCGTTGAAGAAAATTTGGAGCCGTTCACCAAACGAACGTCCAATCAGCGTTGGCTTTGAGGCGGGTTGAGGTGTGAC